ATGAACAGAATAAAAAATAAATATGGATCCAGGCTCAAAATGAGCACCTTGATATGTGCTTGAGAATGGCTTAGTCTCCATTCAAACCCAGGTTTAAAGCCTTGCAGGGCAGCCTAAAGCCCACTGCAAACATTAAGACAGAAAAAAGAAAGAAAACAACAAACGGTCAGTTTAGGTGTTTTATAAAACATGTGAATCAGGAAATTGTCTGTATACCAAACTATTGTTGTTTCCTACTTAAAAAAAACACTTTAGATTTTAAAATGAAAAAAATGTCTTTTTTTTTAATTAAAAGATTCAATGTATAACATGGATGCATAAACACCTCGTTTTATTTCAGTGTTAAATTCTGTTTAATGTAACAGATCAATACAAATGTCTCCACACTGTTACTGGTTGATGATTTTCTTTATGCAGACCTGCTGATTTTTAATTGGTTACTCTGCTATAAGGGTTGGGATGATGAACCTGCAGTTACAGGATTCAAAGGCTTTTGTTAAGTTTTTGTATTTAGCTAAAAATAAGCCCAAACACTTATTGGAACGCCATACATTTATTCAGTGCTTTCATATAGCTGAGAATGCAACAGTAACAAAATAAAAATATTAAAATGTACAGATAGACTGGTTTCTTTAAATGACTTTAAAAAAAACTGAGATTTTTTGCTTTTTAAACTAGCAAATAACACACTATTTTAACACCTGCTTTTGTCAAACTTATTGCATTACAGTACTAATTGTCAAGGCTACTTACACTCTGTTGCTTTTTTTTGTTGAAAAAGCTCCGTATGTCTGACGGCTTTTTCGGTGGCATCTTTTTTTTTTTTGTTAAACCAACCCGTCTAATACTTTTTTAATATTAACGAGTGCTACTGTGCGTTGTCTCTCCTCCAATCATGTAGCTACTGATGACGAGGTGAAAAGCGACTGCCAATCATATTCTATCATAAAGTGACAGACGTGGAGCCATGGACATAGGATCCAATGATGTTATATCAGTAGGCGGGACTCAGGAGAAGCGGGATAGCGAGACAGAAACGCTGACTAAAAACTCTCAGAACACACACAGCCAGGCACGTCCTGGCGTTACTGTTGTTGGCTAAAGTAAATAAGCTGAATACATATGTACAAATTATTGGTGGGGGAATGTCCCCACCCATTTCAAAGTTGGTGGGGACATGTCCACACCAGTCCTTCAGAAATTTACCCCAGTGGATTTTTCCTTCTGTCCCAAACAGAGCACTTCGCTCTCAATCTGCAGGTTTACTAGTGGTTCCTAGAATTTCTAAAAGTAGAATGGGAGGTAGATCTTTTAGTTATCAG